TTGATCAACTCCCACATGTGTTTTTTCTTAGAGCCGGCAGCTTCATGAGAGCGCACATGACGTCGTTAAGTGCAAGAACGGTGAGCTGATCAATGGGGAGAGTGCAGCGGAGGCTCACGGAAGAAAACGAGCGCGGAGAACACTCTTCTTGAATGAACCATATTTGCTTACAGAATCTATACCTAAACCCTAAACCCTAAACCCTAACAAGCCGGCGCGCCGCACAAAGCACAGGGGGATCTCCACATGCTTCTGAAGCCCTGAACGAAACCTTGCAGCTCCCTCAAGTCCCAATCACCTCAGCCTTGCTCCAAACATCTTCGGGTTTAGGGTTTAGGGTTTAGGGTTTAGGGTTTAGGGTTTAGGGTTTAGGGTTTAGGGTTTCCGACTGAAAAGGGTTTTGGGGTTTAGAGTTTTGGGGGGTTTTGGGTTTAGGGTCTAGGGTTTAGGGTTTAGGGTTTGGGGTTAGGGTTTCGAGGGGCTTGGGGCTTAGGGTTCATGCGAAGGCGCGGCGCGCGTTCATAGGGCCCCCACCCCCCCTCCCCATGGTGTCTCCCCCACCCTCCCAAGCCCCGAATTTGGGACGTTCCCCCTTATTCTAGCAGGATGATCAGAGGGGGTACGATAATCCCTTTTTTTAAGGACTGCTGGTATAAGGGGGAACATCCCAACCTCTAATCCTTAACCCACTACGAACCACAGGGGTGGGGAGAGGGAAGCCACAAACCTTAAATCTTCAGCCCAACCCCAAACGCTCAACTTTTCCAGGCCCTCAACCCAGCACGGATCACGCGGGGGAGAGGGGAAAGCCTACACCCTCAACTCTTCATCCTCAAGGCAACCCTCGAGACTCAAGACAACCTTAAACCCCAAACTCCGAAAGTCTAGCCCTGTGCCCTAAACCCACATAGTTAAGGTCAAGGCTTGCGGGTTGGGGTTCCTAAACCCTAAACCCTAGACCCTAAACCCTAAACCCTAAACCCTACGCCCGTTTAACTTTAGGTCACCGGCCGGGAATCCAAAAACTGAGGAATGTCTTCATCAACTATGGGTCCTGGCTTGGGGACTTCACCCAGTTGACCATTGCACCGCGATCGGATCATCGGAAGTCTTGTGGCCCTGGTCGTTTGGGTTTGGGGTTTAGGGTTCAGGGTTCAGGGTTCCGGGATCAGGGTTCTGGATCCTAAGCCCTAACCCTAAAGTCTAAACCTAAGCCCAAATCGTGGCTTTGAGAGCTCACGCTCTGGAGCAGTCTTTCACAGACTGTCCCCATTTTGGGAGCGTGTTTAGAGAGTGTCGGATGCCGAGAAGTACCCCTTTTTGGGGTTTATTTTTGGGTTCAGAGTTTAGGGTTTGCAGGTTTTCTGAGAAATCCATCAACTACAAGAGGCAATGAGCATTAAGATCCATCCGCTGCAAGAGGCATGTACCTTTTCTGCATTTGCTGGGCACCCCTAGTGTCAGTCCATCATATCTACAAGACTTGGTGGGGCTTAAGGGCTTCAGGGTTGAGGGTTGAGGGTTCATGGTTTAGAGAGCACTTGCTCGAAACAACCTCCGAACTCCGCAACAGCAAACACAATTGAATTCTCCTAGTCTAAAGAGCGACAACCAGAGCCAACGGTGTCTGGCTTGGAACTTCAAAATGCAGGCCCCTGTGCGGAGGCCCTCGGCCACCAGCGCAGGCCTATCTGAGCTGCTGGGGTTGTGAGGGCCCCTGCAAAGCCAGCGAGCCCCCTTCCGCTGGAGCCTGTGTGGGAGGCCCCCCTGCCTGAAATCCTGGGCTGCAGGCCCCCGGCCTTGACAACCCCTCCGGCTGGGAGCTTGGGAGGTTTCTACCCCGCAGCTTGCTGAGCTGGCTGGTAGGGCTGTGAGGGCCCCTGCGAGCGGCCCCCTTGTGTGGAGGCCTCTGGCCTATGGCCCGAGAGCTGCCTGGGGGGGTTTAGGGTTTGGGGTTTGGGTTTTAGGGTTTAGGGTTTAGGGTTTAAGGGCCTTTCTCAGCTTATCTTTGAGGATTTTTTGTCCTTTGCTGGACCATTCTGAGCCTTTTTTGGGGTCTTCCCAGACCAGCTCGAAGCAAAAGAATCCCCAAATCCCAAAATATCCAAAAGCATAAACCTCGGACAATTTCAAACCTTGTTGGGCCTTTCCCAGACCATTTCTGAGCCTTTTTGTGCCTTTCCTGGAGTTTTTTTGGGCTTTTCCCAGACCAGTTCTCAGCTATAAAGTCCCCCAATAAACCCGACCCAGGTCATGAATTGGGTGGGCGGGTTGGGAGAGGACGTGAACCTTGGCGCACACCACAACACACGCCCTGCGCGGTGGTGTGCGCGGAGCATGTGACACACCCCAAACCCCCAACCCCAAACCCTAAGCCTTCCCCTCCCAGAAACACACAAAACAAGTCAGTTTTCAAGGTACACTTCGTGGATGGAAGTGCCTTCTCCCTGTACGGCCGGCCCTCAACAGTCCTCGGGCGTGCTTAAGGTTTAGGGTTGAAGGTTTAGGGTTGGGGTTGAGATCCAAGGTTTAAGGTTTCAGGCTTCGGGTTGAGGCTTAGGGTTCATACAAGGTGGATGGCTAGAGGCTTACGCCCTCCAGCCCCTCACCCAAACCCTAAGCCTCCGATTCAGTCCTCTGTTTCGTTGAAGTTGCGTGGCTACAGCAGGGCCCTTTGGAAAGTCTTTGTGCTGGCGTAGCTTTGTTTATGGAACTGTCTGGTTCGTGTTTACAGCAGGCGTTTGAGGGTTTTAGGGGTTTAGTCGGATGCAGAATTGATATGCGGTCATGGAAGCCCCCGCTAGATTCGGAAAAGACGTGGAAGTTCTATGGGTTCTGACCCCTACATTATGACCTTATTGTCCCAAAAAGAATAGACACCCAACTCCCTAAACCTAAATCCTATCACCCTGACCCGAAACCCTGAACCCCATAAACCCTGAGCCTAAACCCTAGACCCTGGACCCTAAACCCTAAACCCTAAAACCTCCAGGATGCATCCGTCCCTCTGGCGAAGATACCGGCCTCGACCTCTGTTACCCTCGGTTTTTTCTTGGATTTTTTTTTTTTGGGTGAGGGGGGGGGGGGGGCAGGGGTAGGATCAGAGATTCCAGGGTTCAGGTTGGGACTTGTGTTGAAATTGTTCCTCTTATACCTAACGGTCCTTAATCGGCATTATAATGGGGGGGGTACTATAATCCTACTCAGGACTGTTCGTCAAACCTGTACCTAAACCTTAAACCCCGAACCCTCTGTTTGTGCTCGCGCCCATGGCGCATCCCGGGGATGCTTCATCTTCTGCATCAGGTTTAGGGTTTAGGGTTTAGGTTTAGGGTTTAGGGTTAGGGTTAGGGTTTTGGGTTTTGGGTTTTGGGTTTAGGGTGTCCCTACGGTTTAGAGTGTGTGTTGGAGATCTAGGTCACAGGGATCAGTTCGGGTTTCGCGGTTGTGGTTATTGGGGTGTCAGGGTCAAGACCCTAAACCCTAAACCCTGAACCCTGAACCCTGAACCCTGAACCCTCCCGCAAGACCCCCAACGCCCTGCTCCGGGCTCCTAGGCCGCGATGGCAACATCGCCAGGAGACAGTGCAGCTGCGGCGTGGCCTGATTTAGGGTTTAGGTTTTGGGGTTTGGGGTCTTAGGATTTGGGCTTTCGGGGCTTTCGTGCCCATTAGACCGGGAAGTTGGATTTCATGGCCTAAGCCCGTCAACTCCATGATCGGTGAAGCTTTGACGACCAGCTTTCTGAGAAGAAGTAGTAGCAGGGAAGAACCCCAAGCCCCTACACCCCAAACCCTAAACCCTTTTTGAACAGAAGGCCGCCAACCTTTGTCTGTTCATGCGCACGCCACGGCCTTGAAACTTAAGCCTGAAGCTACCAGAACTCTAAACCAAGTAATTTTGGGGTTGGAGTAGTTACGATTAGTACTCCCTTATGGTTCCTATATACATATACTATAAGAGCCCCCAAAACCCTAATTTAATTCTTAAGGCCCCTAGAGTAGGGTTTAGGGGTTATGTTAGGGCTCAGGGCTAGAAGATCGGTCTTATGAGGTGGCCAGGGGCCTAGGACTAAACTTGACTAAAGCCCTAAACCCTCCAAACCCCAAAGCGTTTAGGATTTGGGGTTAGGGTCTCGGGTTTTGAGGGTTCCTGAACCCTAAACCCTTAACTCTCAAACCCTCAGCCTTAAACCCTTGTTTGAGAATTCAGGGTTTGAGAGTTCAGTGCTTCCAGCTGAGACCTTGCACCCTACCGCACACCTGCAGGTTTTGGAGGCACCTGTGGCTCAGAAACCTTATGTAGGAAGGTCTTTGTGCCCAAAAATCCTAAAACCAGGAGTCCTTAGGCTCTAAGGGTAGGGGTTTAGGGCTGCGTTCGGTCGAGTTTGTTGGCCCGTTTAGGGTTTAGGGTTTAGGGTTTAGGGTTTAGGGTTTAGGGTTTAGGGTTGAGGGCTTCAAAAGCGCGATCTGCACCTCGCCGCACATCGGATCAAGACTTTGAACCGAGAGGCAGCCGCAAGAGGCAGCTGCGCATTCGGTTCTAGCAGCCCTTGCTTTGCAGGATTGCAACCATAGGCTGAGTACAATGAAAGCCCTGTGTTGTGGGTTTAGGGTTTAGGATTCAGGGTTCAGGGGTTTAGGGTTCAGGGTTTAGGGTTTAGGGTTTAGGGTTTGGGATCTGACAAAACAGACGTTTTCATGGTAGACGCCCCAGCAGCTGGACCAGACAAAGCATTCTGGACCGTACTTGGACATGTACCTTTTTCGTATTTGTTGGTTATGCTCGAGCTCTAAACACCCCCAATGCCTTGAACCCCTAAGCCCAAAACCCTAAACCCAAATCCCCTCATCCCCCTGAACCCAAATACCCTAAACCCTAAAGCCGAAACCGCCCTAAACCCTGAACCCCTAAGTTTGGGGTTCAGGGTTTGGGGTTTAAGCCCTACCCTTGTTCAGGTATGGCCGGAGAAAGCTCACACCGCAGGCAACGCGGGTGTTATGGTCGTGGGTCGCTCCGCGTTACATGGAAACATCCCGGCAGTCTTGCTGGGAGGCCGATTCTACTTCAAGCGGAAGGAGTCTCAGGTGCTGAGTAGCTAGCCCTAAACCGTAAACCCGAAACCCAAAACCCCAAACCCCAAACCCCAAACCCCAAACCCCAAACCTTAAACCCTAGCCTTAAGCCTTTTTGTGACCTTGTTCAAAGTCCGTAAACCTAAAACCCTGGATCGTCCCAATCCTATTTAGCAGCTTTTGCCTCGGCGAACATTCGGAACCCTAGTCGGTTTAGGGTTTCGGGTTTAGGGTTTAGGGTTTAGGGTTACACCCTCTTTTCCCACATGACACACTCAGCCAGTAAGGAGTACTTGTACACTGACTTCGGCGGCGGCGTGAACCGGAAGGAGACGAGAAGTGAGATCTCAGCCCTAAGGTTTAGGGTTTAGGGTTTAGGGTTCAGGGTTTAGGGTTTAGGTTTTAGGGTTTAGGGTTTAGGGTTTCCCTGAATCCAACCCTAAATTCCCCAAAGCTCCCGCAAACCCGAGGCCCGAATTGAGTAAGTAACTGTGAACTTGTGAAGCACCTTACGGCCCGTTTAGGGTAAGGCTTGGGGTTTTGGGGGTTTAGCCCTAAACCCCAAACCCTAAACCCTAAACCCTACTTTAGGGTTTGGCCGGTAAGAACCCGAAGGCAGGAGAGTCACCGCTTACGGGGGCTTTTCGTGAGCTGGCAGAGGAGCTGTTTGCGCAGGACGAGGAGACATTCGCCTTCGTTTAGGGTTTAGGGTTTAGGGTTTAGGGTGTAGGGTTTAGGGTTTAGGGTGTAGGGTGTAGGGTTTAGGGCTGAGGGCTTAAGGCTCAGGGCTCAAGGGGTTTAGGGTTAGGATTCCGGTTTAGCTTGTGGGTTTCTGGGCACGCAGGCACGAGGATATGATTGGGTTGTTACATGTTTGTATATAAATATCCCCCTCCAAGACGTATCTCTCATAATATCGCTGTGCTTGAGACCTGTTGAGAACACCGCAAAAGCCGTTAATGACAGCATAAATGTCATGTATGCAGTGGCTGTACTTGGCTGACCGGAATCCGGGTCGTGATACTACGAAACTTCCATTCGAGTAACGTGGTATTTACAGCACTTTCAGCTCTTACATACATAAATCACCAGCTTTGAGCGATTGTTACTTGTTTCATCCTCATGATGCAATACAATGTGCATATGTTGCATAAATATTCCTTTTTTACGGATGCGCCATTTGTCCACCAGATACCGGGATTTAGGTCGAAAGCATCTCCTGCGTTATTGATTAGTACTGCGTCTTTTCTGCTGTCAGGTTTCTACTTGATTACACCTGCAGAAGTCCATTGTTTCTCAGGCTTAGGGTTTAAAGCGATTGATTGTCTCATTCATTCAAAAAAAAAGCTGTTTTTTTCGTTTGTGCATGTTTTTTCGGAGCTTCTTTTTCGCCTATGCTTTAAATTGTGATATTTGTTCGCTGTCGTGTCTGAAGCATCGTGTCACAAGCTGTGTGGCTTAAGGCCGGCCACTTAACGCAATTGGCCCTATTCGCCTTCCTCTTCTGGGGATTTGCGCACCCTTCTATAACGCAAAAATTCTGTACAATCCTTTTTGAAGGAACCCCAAAAAGGGTACCCCTATCTTCGGAGACCCCATTTCAGTACGGGTCATAGGCTGCATGCTTTGTGTTTTTCCCAATAGGAAACAGACGCAGCACTGAGGCGATCTCCACTCGGGAATACTGTGAGCAGATAGCATTCGTTTCTCCGTGGCATTGCCATACATGTCTGTTGTTCCACTACAGCAGAATCTCAGCATAGAACCTGACTGGGGTTTAAGAGCACCATATTTGGGAATATATTTCAGTGGGTTTCGGAGCCAACCTAGGTTTGTGATTTTGTTGTTTTCTTCTTAGGGTGTATAAGGGTAGTTATACATGGTCCCTTACCTCCTTTCAAGGGTTTTGGAGCATGGGCCCTCAATTTGTATGGGGTATATAAGGGGTATATAAGAGTCCCGTTTAAGGGCCCATATTAAGGGAGCATGTAACTACCCCTAGAGTGTATGAATTTTACTGCTTCGCATTGAGCTTAGTGGTTCATGGTTGGGGGTGTTCCGGGGGTGATGAGGGGCTCAGATGTCTAGAGACACAACAAGATGCTCAGGCTTTGCGGTTCAGGTGCCATAGGCCCTAAACCCCCTTAACGCCCCCTACCAGCCCCCAAAGCCCCTAAAGCCCCTTGTAGGGTTTAGGGTTTAGGGTTTAGGGTTTAGGGTATGCCCTACAACCCCGCCCCCAAAAGGCCCTAAACCGAACAGCTGGTCAAGGACTGCTACAGTGACCGCCCAGGGAATATCAGAAGCGATGAAGTCAGAACTCTTGGGCGACAGGCCTTTTGTGTCTGGCGACTACGTGATGTTTGTGGTCACCGCCGAGGCACTTTGTGCAGGGATACCGGCGGTCTCTGAAGGAATTTCACCCTTGGGGTTCGACGGGAACCGTACAAACCATTCCAAGAAGGTGCTGTTGTTGTTGTTGTTGTTGTTGTTGTTGTTGTTGTTGTTGTTGTTGTTGTTGTTGTTGTTGTTGTTGTTTTACTTTTCCGAGGGTGCTGAAACACCAGCTTACCCTACGCCCTCCAAGCCTGAACGCCTTTATCCTAAACCCTAAATTGCCCTAAGCCCTACACCCTGAACCTCCCACTACCCTGAACCTAAACTCTCTTTGTTCCCTAAATTCTGAACCCCGGGGCTACCCTGAACCCTAAACCCTAAACCCTAAACCCTAAACCCCAGGCTCTTGCCAGCAGCCTTGACATTGATCCTGGAGACTCGGCCCTCGATCAACTCTTCCAGTCGGCTGCATTCTTCGATGCGAAACTGGGTTGCAAGCGTTTTAGGGTTTAGGGTTTAGGGTTTAGGGTTTAGGGTTTAGGGTTTAGGGTTTAGGAAGGAAACAAGACAGCTCACACCTTTATGACTTGTCGCATTTTGCGTTGGTTCCCTGAGGGGAGGTTGGTTCTGGTTTCTTGATCTGGGTTTCTGAACCGTAACTCCGACAGCCCTGAACCTCTTAACATCCCTAAGCCCACCCAGAAACCCTGAAGCCCTGAAAACCCTGAAGCCCTGAAGCCCTGAAGCCCTAAGCCGTGAACCCTGAAGCCTTGAAGCGCTAATCCCTAAATCCTCAACCTTAAACCCTAAACCCTAAACCTGGACTCTGAAGCCCTAAACCCTAAACCCTGCTTAAGCCCGAAACCCTGAGACCCTGAAACCCTGAAACATGAAACCCTGAAACCCTAAACCCTAAAAACCCTGAAACATGAAACCCTGAAACCCTGAAACCCTGAAACCCTAAACCCTATACCCTATACCCTAGACCCTAAACAGACGTGCCAGGAAAGGGAAAGCCAACTCGGAGCTCAGCTCGGTGGCCCTGGTCAGCATCCCGGAGCTGCTGCGCAGTGCCGCGCATGATGCTTTGGTGCTGAGTAGGGTTTAGGGTTTAGGGTTTAGGGTTTAGGGTTTAGGGTTTAGGGTTTAGGGTTTAGGGTTTAGGGTTTAGGGTTTAGGGTTAGCGTTAATGAACGTTTTTGGGCGCCATTAGCAAGGCCAACCAATTCGTCTGGGGGGTCCTCATTCTAAAGGTGCCGTGCGAAACTACTAAACACAAATTGCCTTAAACCACCCTAAGCCCTAAACCCTAAACCCAATTTGGAGAACTACCCCTGGAACTCGGAGAAGCAAGGGATTAAGACTCGTACCCCTTTGCTTGTGGCCCGAAAGGTTGCCCTTAATACATACTCCGAATATGGCCCTTATACTACCCTTACAGATCCTAAAGGTTCCCCTTAATATGCTCCCATTATGGCCCGTATACCACCCTTAAGGATCTTGAACAAGGTTCCCCAAGACCCCAGGGTACAACCTTAAGGGTCCAAGGTACACCGAACCCCTAAACCCTAAACCCTAAACCCTAAACCCTAAACCCTAAACCCTAAACCCATTGAAACAAGGATGGGCACGTCTCTCCTTTGAGCACAAGGCATGCCGAGCAAGGGAAGGAGGGCACCCCCCACACGCCCGAGTCCATCAAGCTGCGACCCGTCCTGGTGGGCTGGAAGCTAGGCAGCCGGAGGTCCCGGGCTTAGGGTTTAGGGTTTAGGGTTGAGGGTTTAGGGTTTAGGGTCTAGGGTTTAGGGTTTAGGGTTTAGGGTTTAGGGTTTAGGGCCAGGTTTGTTCGGGGTTCTTTTCCTTTTTTTTTGTTTTTTGGAGGGGGGGAGTGGGAGGGGACTTCCTGTAGAAAGCAGTATAGTATGTTCGGGGGCAGTAGCGGATGTGTTGAAAGTCCCTAGGTCCCCCAAAAGTTGAACCCCCAAACCTGAAACCCGAAGAGCATATTCTTCGGCATATTTGCACAGTGGCTTGTGCACTAAACCCTAAACCCTAAACCCTAAACCCTAAACCCTAAACCCTAAAGTGCAGCCCAGGAAGGGATCCCTCAGCGTCATCCACAGGGTTCTCGAAGAGTTCGCTTCGCGCGGCAGCTGCGGGGGGAGCTCGACGGTGTCTGGCTATCCGGCCGAAGCGGCAGATGGGGAGGCTACTTCGCACAGCGGCCCTGCTCCCAAACGGCGATGGCAAAAAGGAAGGGCCTATGTATTATTGTTTGCTTCAGGGCCCCCAAAAAACAGAGGCAATAAATCTCCCCAATTTTCCGTTAGTTAGGAAGAACATTTTTTCTTTTGGGGGAGGGGGGGGGTTAATCGGCAAATGGTCGTTTAGGGTGTGGGGTTCAGGGCTTAGGGTTTGTTTTGTCCATCTTGAGACCTTCTGTTCGAATGAATTTTGCAAACCTCAGCTTCCTTTCAAGTCGCACCAGAACCTCGAAGACTCATGAGAGTAGCGAAGCACAAACATCATTTTCGACACTTCCGATAGTTTGGGAAATTCCCCCTTATACTAACAGTCCTGAATAGGGATTATAGTATATACCCCCTCAGTATTAAGAACTGTTAGCATACGAGGGAACATCCCAACCAATAGTACAAGTAGTAGCCGTCATCTTCATCATGATCAGAACCCGAAAGGGAACAAGAGAAATGCAGCAAACTATCGTAACAGCACCGCCAATCACCAACAACCACACGACTAGCAAACAAATCTGCGACAACTAATAAGAGAACAGTAACAATCATGAAGTATAAGCAGGAACATCAGTCTAGTTACATATGGAGCGAGTAGTGGGAGTCGAAGTAGGAGTATCCTTAACCCGAACCCAGTACATAGTGGTAGTAGTAGCAGTAGTAGTAGTAGTAGTAGTAGTAGTAGAAGCAGCAGCAGTAGCAGCAGTAGTAGTAATAAGATAAAAAATTCCCGAGGTCAGCTCCACCATGGACCATTTCTACTCACCGGAGGCGTCCGGAACAAAGCCATGTAGTCCTGGATGTGGCACCCCCAAACCCGAAACCCTATGCCCAACTCCGTGATGCCCTAAGCTTAGGGTTTAGGGTTTAGGGTTTGGGGTTTGGGGTTTGGGGTTTAGGGTCTAAGGTTAGGGACCCTAAACCCTAAACCCCAAACCCTGGACCATACTGTTCCCTTTAGCATGGTCAGGTTTTAGGACTGAGGGTGTCCCCAAGATTCTGAATCCTTCATCCTTCCTGTAACCCAAGCCCCCATACTAAAACCCCTAAACTCCTAAACTGGCCTCGAAAACCCTTGAGGATTTGGGTTTCCGGGTCTAAAGACGGCTAAACCCTAACCCTAAACCCTAAACTTAGGGCTTAGGATTCCTGACAGCCTCGGTGCGGGAAGCAGCTCCGACTGAGGGGCACAGACCGCCAAGGGTTCGGTGCTTGCTGGGTCCTTTCTCTGCGTTCAAGTAGGGCCCCTTTGGGATGTTAGGGTTTCGGGTTTAGGGTTTCGGGTTTAGGGTTAGGGTTTAGGGTTTAGGGTTTAGGGTTTAGGGTTTAGGGTTTAGGGTTTAGGGTTTAGGGGCTTAGAGCTTTGAAGCGATGTCTATACTCCTGAGTTCTGTGCAGTTTTCGTGATACGTTGAATCCCACCCCCTTCTTGTTTTTGCCCTCTCCAACCGAAGCCTTAAACCCTGAACCTTATACATGGCTCTGGAGGGTAAAGTTTTGGGGGAGTTTACGCCTAAACCCTAAACCCTAAACCCTAAACCCTTCACAGTTCGGGCTAGAGGCTACGTGTTGGGCTTCAAAAGGTTTTGGGAAGGGTAGGGCCGGCTGTAGGGCCTTCAGCCGAGCCCTAAACCCCAACCCTCAACCCAATCTCACACCCCTAAACCCCTAAACCCTAAACCCTAACCCCTAAACCCCTAAACCCCTAAACCCCTAAACCCTAAACCCCTAAACCCTAAGCGCGAAGCGCGAAGGTAGAAAAGGAAACCCTAAACCCCGCATTTCCCCCTTCAGGTCGCGACCTTGCTTCCTTCAGAGATTTGGACCAGGGCGCCACAGGCGCCGCAATCTTCAGCGATTGGGAGTGTTGGGTTTGGGGTTGAGGGCTAGGGGTTTAGGGTTTAGGGTCTAGGGTCTAGGGTTTAGGCCTAGGGGTTTAGGCAGCGAGGTTCTGAGCAGAATCTGTCAACCCTCAACTCGCGTTGGGGAGGTTCGGGGTTTAGGGTTTAGGGTTTCGGGTTACCCTAACCCCAAACCCTGAGCCCTAAACCCGTACCCTAAGGAAGGCACCCTATTTACCAAACCCCTGAAGAGCTTAAACCCTCAAACTTTAACAGAAGTAGGCCCTGAACCCTCAACCCTAAACCGGTTTAAGGTTTAGGGTTTACGGTTTAGGGGTCCAGGCCAGAGAGCCGGAAAACAAACATGGGTTCAGGGCTGAGCATCGTGTGGCTGTTTTCAGCATTGTTCCTGAGCCTTGTCGGGGTTGCCAGGTTTCCGAATCCTTTCGGGGATCGGAGCTTAGGTTGATTGAATCCGAACCCACAAGCCCTGAAGTCTAAAACCACCAGTTTTAGGGTTCAGGATTAGGGTTTAGGGTTTCGGGTTTAGGGTTTAGGGCTTAGGGCTTAGGGTTTAGGGTCAGCCTTCAAGCGAGCCGCTCATCTCACTGTAGGTGGCTTCACTGCTACAGCAGCGCATCACTCCGAAGCCAGCGACGCTTGCCAAACTTTTTTCTTTTGGGGCGATGGGGTTTCTTAGCGTTTAGATGTATGGGGTTTTAAGGTTTTAAGGGGTGGGGTTTAGGGCTTCGGGTTTAGGGTCGGTCAAGGGAGGGCCCCTTCTAGGGGTCCCTCCTTACACCCCCTGAGTCGAACCTTAAGCAGCGCCTAAACTTCTAGGGCTCTTAAGGGATGGGGCTGCAACGAGGGAATACAACCCAAGGTTCCCTCATATTCCCCACTACTCCCTCAGGCTCCCCAAGGCTCCCGAAGCTCTTTTTAGGATCCCTAGGTAGCTACCCCCAATGAATCCCCCTCCCTTAAGAACCCTA